TGTTCCTCTCTCGACAATATATCTTTGTTTTCCTTATTGTAAATTGTACACAACTTGGCTTGTTTTGTATTCAAAGTACTTCTCGCAGCACATATCCTCGAGCTCTTAATGGAATAAATGCGGTCATATATTAAGTTATTGTGAAAAGCTGGGCTCTTACCGAGATTAAGTCACTTCGTATCGCCTTAAAGGGTCTTTTATTCTATTCCTCGTGTTTTGCATGAAGGCAATTTTTCCGGACAACTTTTCCTACCTCGAGGATAATTTAGAAACTCCCTTCTCGTTTTCCTGTTATTTTTCATGTATTATTTTGTTCTGAAATATCTGAATGCATTATCTTCCCAAAGCTATCTTACTTTCCGTAGAAAAGTGTGAGTTATGTAGGGTAATATATTTGAACAGTGTTTATTTTTCAAAAGTTTTGGTGGCTTAGAATGCTTTATTTCGCAGGAAATTGTCTTGAAGTAACACAATAATAAAGTTTTAAAACGAAATGTTAAAAAAAATTTATTTTAAGAAAGAGTAGTTATTTGCATAACTAGTAAGTATTTAAGTGTAAGGGTTAAAGAAAAGGTCCTTTATTTCTCACAAGTCAATTTAATTGGCGACCGGTTTCGAAGCTGTCACTTCATCATCAGGCACACCTAAATGGAATGTCAAGGAGTCAGTTGTAATAAAAAAACCATTATAAAAGCATAAACGGACTTTAACATATACAAAATAACAGAAAAGACACAAAAGAAGTTAAACAATAACCTTGACTCACCTTGACTATTTCCATAAAGGAAGCGCTACATAAAGTTTAACAAAACGAGTTAAAAAAGTCATATGTAATACAATAGTATTTTTTTAAAAATATTGTAGGTTAGGTTAAACCGCGAGATGTCTGTTTGAATAAATTAATTAAAAGACTATTATTAACTAAACAACACAAAATAGTTTTTACAAGCACAAACAGTTTAAAATTTTTTTAAGGATATAACGTCAATTAATAAAAGTAAAAAGTAAAAATTATCAGACTCAAGACATCTATCTAGATTTTTTAACGAATCAATGTAGTAAACTATAAATTTTAAATTTAGTGGATAAATAGTGTACTAACAAAGGTGTTATTTACTGAAAGTGAGTATAGGGGGTGGTGACAGAATTTATTGAAAATAAAAATATTGAACTGGGAAATGAGAAAGCAAAAAATACTAACAAGAAAATTAGAACACTGAACAAGAAAATATGAAAATTCATATGTAAAAGGGAAATTTGAAGCAGATAATCAAAAGAAAAATTACTGTTACAGGAAACGGAAACTAAGTTGACAAGTACGAATGTCAAAAAAAGAAAAGTCAAATTTTGGCGTATGACAACCACGTGGGAGAATTTGAATAAACTAATAAAACATTTAATAAGATGCGAGTGGGCAAAAAATTAATGGAAACAGAGAAGAGAATCTAAATTGGGAGAGTTAATTAATTTGTGGTAAGTAACTGATTGAAGATCAAATGAGTGGGGGTGAAACCGGTCGCCAATTAAATTGACTTGTGAGAAATAAAGGACCTTTTCTTTAACCCTTACACTTAATCCCTACTACTCACATATGGCTACCCTCACTCCAAAAGTAAGTATTTAATATAAACTAAGAAAACTATTTATTAGGTACCATTAAAGAAAATTCCTTGTGTAGTTTAAATATCAACAAATTAAATATTTAAAAAAGGATAATTTCCTGACAGTAGAAAAATTTTGTATAAATAAAAAATTCCTTAGTTGACCGCATAAACATAGGAACTTTTTAGTTATGTAAAATTTGTTATTATTTGTACAGATAGTGCAAGTTTTCGTAGTTTTACACATTTAAAGAAATATGATGAAAGAAGATATATGCTCAAAGAAATTATTGAAAAGCTATGTACCTTTTATTATAAAAAAATATAAGGATATTTCTAAGAATTTAAAAAAGTATTATTTTTATTTTATAAATTTAATATTTTTGTTTGTTTTAGGTATTCCTAGGAAGGTGTGGAGACTTTTGGAATGGCCATTTAAAAAGAAATTTAACATTTTCTTCGTTGCTTTGTATATCATTTTTAATTTTCTAGGTTTTAGAAGTCTAAAAGAAAGTAGAAACGATTTGGATTAGTTAAATGATTTCAGGATTATTTTATTTTGTTTATTTACATTTATAATGACATTATATCATTCATTCACTTTAGACAAGCGATTGTATAATTTGAATATTAAATAATTAAAACCCCCAGATAATCTACATATTTTTGGAACTAAGTAGGTAATTGTGACAAATTGGCTGAAGATATTTTAATTTATCGGGCATGATTTAAATTCACTTCCTGTGGATGTCATTTTAATTTGTTCGTGCATATCTCATCACTTCAGCTAGGAATATATGCAAAACGCCATATTTTGCATATGTTGCATATATATACAATTTTTGATTTTGAATGCATATATTGACATTTTGTTAATTTTTTGGCATATATCTGACGTACTAATTGGCTGGAAATTGTGAGTTTTGGACCAAAATAATATTTTGGGAAACACCTTTACAGGTCGATTTTCCAAAATTTTAAAGGATTAACTTTTCCCTGTAATAAACTACGGTTAATGGTGTAGGTACTTGAGAGGATTACATTATAAACATCCTCCTTAAACCAACAAATTTTGCTAAATATCCTTTCAGGTAGTTGTATTAATATCTTCAAATTTCTAAATGACTCAGTTTACTTTCAACTTTATTTCAGTCTTTATTGTTGTGTTGTGTTAACCAGTGGGAAAAATGGCAAAATAATTGAGTCGTGGGTAAAATCTTATTCAGATTTTGTTGTAGAAGGTGATAACCAGGTGTTTTGTAAAACATATTCTAAAATTGTAAGTACTATTTTATATTTTATTTTGACCTTTTACAATGGTAAATCAAACGACATTAAAATATTATTTTAACTCACAGGCAAAAAAAAGTAGGGCAACTTAACAACGTACGCATTCATTTAATTTAATTAAATTCAACATCTACAGGAATTTATTTGTTTTGGATTCCATGTAAAAAAAAGTTTCAAATCGAACAACACGCGAAAACACCCTCACATATAGCAAAGTAGAAATCTAAAGATACTCGCAGACAAAGTCAACTACCCTTGAAACAATATTTAGAATCTGGATCGTCTAGAAGTGAACAAGCTATTTTTAATGAAGATTTATGCAAAGCTTTAGTGACTTCGAATATTCCTTTAATACGATTAAATAATCCAAATCTCCGATCATTTTTGCAAAAATACTGTAAATTTAATATTCCAGAGAAAAGTATATTACATTGAGACTCGTGAAAAAATTCGTGAGAATACCGTTGGAAACCATTTCTACATTATTGTGGATGAAACAACAGACTCTTGTTGTCGATATATAGCCCATTTAATGATAGGTTCATTACGCGAAGAAATGCAAATTGGTTCATATCTAATCGCTTCAAAGCAATTATATAAAACAAATAACTTGACAATAACTCGTTTTATCCAGCCAGAATTGTCTTCCTTTTTTCTTCCGGAAGCCGTTCCAACAGAAAAATGTTTATTGCTGTTATCCGATGCTGCCCCGTACATGGTAAAAGCCGCACAAAATTTAAAAATGTTTTATGAAAACTTAATCCATGTTACATGTTTGGCTCATGGCCTTAACAGAGTTGCATAAAAAATTAGGTCTAACTTTCCTTTAATAAATGATTTAATTAGGAATGTAAAAAAAAAATATTTCTTAAAGCTCCTCTAAGAACTCAATTGTACAAAGAAAAATAATATTTGTACTAAACATGTTACTATTAAAAAAATATGGGAATGTATGATCTTTATAAAATCATTGTAAGCTTCAAAATTCCTATTGAGACTCACTTACAGTACACCAGTGGCGTATCTAAGCATTTTTATTATTAGCAAACCGTTTAATAATAAATTTTTTCCACAAACGAATAGTAACATGTTTAGAAAAAATATTATCCAATATGGCAGTCATTTTGACAGCTTACAGAAATATTTCAATACACGTTTCTTATCCAAAAATGTCACAAAAATTAAAATTTTCAATAAAAAACCGGTTTAGATTTTATAATAAAAAATAAATTGCGATTTTCAGTTATATCC